CATTTATTAGTTCAAATAATTTTATTAGGTAAATCCTTAAAAAGACAATTAAATAACTGAAATCCTTATATGAGTTACTGGATTTGTCAAATCTTTGATTAGGTCACATCATCTAAAGGGGATTTTAAAATTTTATGAAATAACTTTGGTGCCCCTTTCATTATAAACCTAGAGAGATGGAAATTTTCTATCATTCCCGGATTGTATAAGAGTTTTAAACAAGGAGGACTTAACATCTACTATTATAAAGTTGGAAAATCAATCAAGGAGGCAATGATATTAGTTTTTATATTAAATTTTTCTCTCTTAATCTTGATAGTTTCATCGTGACAAAAACGTTATTAATTTAGAATTGAAACATGTTAACTATAAGATAAAATATGTTAATTTTTGAGTTTGTATTAAAATAAAGTTTTATTAAAAAAGTATTACAAGTATATTATGGAGATAAAAAGTTGTTAATTTAGAATCGAAATGCGTTTAACTATAAAACAGAACATGTTAATTTTTAAGGTTATATTATGATCAAATTTTATTCAAAAACTTATTACAAGTATGTTATGAAGACAAAACGTGAATTTAACATACTGTAAAATGAAACATGATAATTTTTAAGATATATTATGATCAAATTTTATTAAAAGACTTATTATAACTGTGTTTTGGAGGCATAAAGCTATTAACTTAGAACTAAAACTTATTAACTGCGTAATTGAACTTACTAATTTTCAGTGTTATATTGTGATTAAATTTTATTCAAAGACTTACACAAGTGTATTATGGAGATAAAAAATTATTAATTTAAAATTAAAATGTGTTAACTATTAAATGAAATATGTTAATTTAGAACTCTTTTCTTTTAGCTTATAATGAAAGAGGCATTAGAGTCATTTCATAAAATTTTAAAATTCTTATTTGGATCATGTAACCTAATTAGGAGTTTAACAAATTTAATAACCTAAATAAAAAATTTGAGTTATTTAACTATCTTTTTAAGAAATTTTTTCAATTTTATTTTAACCTAATCAATTAAATAAACTCATCATTTGTGCACGGGCCCTTAGTATTATTGAATAAAATACATTACTGCAAATTCCTTATAAATCTATTAATTACAATGTATCAAATTAACTAATAAACATTCATCCATTTTGCAGGAACCCAATCCTTGACAAGTTAATACTACCTCTGGTCCTAATTATAAGAACTAGTTGTCTAATTTGAAAAGATTAAGGAACGAAGTTAAGTTAGTTATTTGTAATACATAGGTGTTGTCTTTTCCAAAATATCCTTGTTAATCAAGTGTATTGGCTAGAACTATTATTGTTAGAATGACTACCTTAGAAAAAAAAACACATAAATATGAGAGACAAAATGGATTGAGGTCTTATATTTAGAACCAAAATAAAAATCAAATAAGGTTTTGTATTAAGGACTAAAGGTAGTAATAACTTTGTCGATGACTAATATATAAATTTTTCTACAAAATTCTTAAATTATTTATAACAAAAAGGATCTAATTAAAACTAAAAAAAATTATAAAATGTACTTGATAGATAATTTAAAATTACAATATTATTTGAAACATGATGCAATTAATTTTTTAACGAGGTCCGTCTCATTTCATTTCTTTTAACTGAACAATAAAACACGTATATACCCAAACATATACACAAGCATATGTTTAAATATGTTTGTTTCTCAATTTGCATGTGATTCGTCAAACTTTTTTTTAACGCAAATTTATCTTCCCAATGCCTAGTGGTAGGTTTCTTTATCAGGATGTGCTACCATGTAATTTGAGATCAGTGATTTTAATTTTTAAAATTTCATTTTATTTTAATCTATCAAAAGGTTGTTGTGCCAACAAAGTTGATTCCATTAGTAATAAGTTGACTTGTAACTCATAAGATTACAAGTTCAAATCTCATTCCTTGTTGGTGGGGTAATTTGTAAGTATCATTATAAGTGTTTTTTTAATACTTGGAGATAGAGATAGGAAAAATTGGTTAAAGTTCCTCTTTGGCGAATTAATTGGGAAATGGGACTTGCAATAGATATAAAAGTACGGGCCCCTCAAATGTCAATAAGCGTGGCAGGAAAAAGACCATACTACCCTGACAGATACTAATTGCATATGACGGATCATTTCTTACATATCACAGATCCTAATTGCCTATGGTGGATGACTAGTCGCATATGAGATCTTATTTCATATGATGGATCTTAATTGCATATCATTGATCCAAACTTGCATATTGTTGATTTTAATTGCATATTGTGGATACCTAGTATATAGTATTTTATTACATATCACGGATCCTAATTACATACAATTGATTCAAAGTTACATATTGGTGCTTTTAATTATATACGTGGATATCTAGCTGCATATAAAATCTTATTACATATCATGGATCCTAATTGTATCTGATCCAAATTTGTCTATGCCTAATTCTAATTGCATATCACAGATACCTAGTTGCATATGAGACCTTATTGCATATCATAAAACGAAACTTGTTTATTATTGATTCTAATTACATGTATGCTACCGTTCACATAAAATTCCTTTGTACAATACTCACAAACAAATTTTTATCTACAAATTAACATAATGGAAGTGGGATCCATCATATGTAATTAGCATTCATAGATAAGAATTTGTGTGTAAGTACTGCACAAAGGAATTTGTTTATATGAATAGTAAAATATGAGCAATTAGAATAAGCAATATCAAATTTGGATCAATGATATGCAATTAGGATACGTGACATGTAATAAGGTCTCATATGCAATTAAGCATTCACAATATGCAATTAGAATCAAGCATATGTAGCTATGGATCAGCGATATGCAATTAGGATTTGTGATATGCAGTAAAATCTCATATGCAATTAAGCATTTAGGTATGGAATTAGAATCACCAATATGTAATTTTGGATCATTTATATGCATTTAGGATCCATGATCTGCAATAAGAAACTATATGCAACTAAGTATCCACAATATGCAGTTAGAATCAACAATATGCAAGTTTGGATTAACGATATGTAATTAGGATCCATAATATACAATAAGATCCCATATGCAATTAGGTATCTACCATATGCAATTATGATTTGTGATATGCAAGTGAGGATCCGTTGTATATAATTAGTATCTATTAGGACAATATAGTTTTTTTTCTTACCATACTTACTACCATTTGAGGGGCCTACACCTTTACATTTATTGTAAGTCCCATTCTCTAATTAATTGGTCAAAGAGAGACTTTTAATCAGTTTCCCCTTAGAGATATACCCTAAAATGAGATCAAATATTAGAGATCGAAAATAATATTAACCCATAAAATTATTGAATAATAGTACTACACATCCACAACACACATTCTCACATGTAAAAGAAGTTACATGCATTGATAAAAATAATAAAATGAGGAACAATAGCATAACAGAGTAATGCCTTTTGTTAATATATATAAACATCATAGCGTGAATTGGCTTAAGTTTTCATCGGATTAGTATAAATTAAGTTACTATGAATGGTTGATCTGTTTTTTCTTCAAACAATTTTTTTTGAAAGAATGAACATATTATTTTTCTTAACATCATCAGGTGAATCTCGAGGAGAGAATTGTAATGAGAGAATTATAATTAAATATCAAAAAATCAACATAATTATTAAAAAATCTGAATAACAACATAATTGCTTGTAATGATAAATTATAATATAAGAAATGACAACTTCTAGATTTTAATAGTTATTTTCTTTTCTTCAACCCACAATAATTCTGTCAAATCTAGTGACAACCGTATATATCCAGGAATTTGGATCCATGAAAAATACCAGATATACTTTTTTCACAATTCTCAAAATCTGCCTCACTTTAAATCTTTTTGGAAAATTTGGTGAAAAATTCTTGCTTGAATGTAAATTTGAACCTATACAACTATAATTCGTGAGTGCAATTTTTTTTCCGTTTTGTGCAATATATTTTCTGTTGTATACAAATGACCTCTATATTGAGGATTATTGTATATCATTGATGATATATTGCACACAATGGAAGAAAAATTATACTCACGGATCATAATTACACTTGTTCAAATTTAAATAATTTTAGCCTATTAAGTTTTAAAAAAGGGACTTTTAACCATTTTTTTTTTGGCCAACGCACTCTGAATTTTACATTAATAGGCCTTTTCTTTTTGGTATACTAAAATATATAAGCTTTTCCATTTGCGATTTGAAAGCTGTACGATTATAATTTATTTCATTAAAATTATGGCAAATCGAACTATTACAAATAATATATAATTTTTTTATAAAATTAATTTAAGTCCTGTGCGTAATATGAAATAAAAGGGATCAGGCCTGATACTTGCCCTTGTTAAACTTGTTTTGAGATAATGAATTTTCTGCTGGCAACAGATAATGAATTTTCAGTTTGCATTGAAAAAATGAAAAGAGTTATATGGTTTATAAATGATAAATATTTAATGGTCCTAGTGGTATCAGAGCAAAAACAAATTTCACACATGATTTTATTATTTTCATGTCTTTCTTTTTTTGACCTTGAATTTATGTCTTTCTTTCTGAATATACATAATTAAAAAAAATTACGTTTCTCATATAATGCATAAAATAAAAGGGTTCCGGCAAAAAAAATAAAATAAAAGGGGAAGTTGGCAATAAATAAATAAATAAAAGGGGGAAAATATAAGTGGGGCCTTCGGGGGAAAAAAACGAAAAATATAAGTTCGCCAAAAAAAAAGGGGGGGGGGGAGGATGAACGTACAGTGAATGCCTTGAATCCGAAACTGCCAATCTGCCATGCTCAAGCATCAACATCGACCAAAAATCTAGGCAAAGTTAAAAAAAACAAAAAAAACAAAAAAAAGAAAGGAAGAAAGAAACTTCTGTTTTCTTTCATTTCGGCCTCCTCAACGCCGATCTCTGTGTCTTTAATCATTGTATAGAATCATCATATTTTTCTGAAAATCCACATTCTGTTTTGGCATTTCCATTTGAATTTTCTATTCCATTTCCCTAACCTCTCTTCGAAGCCAAGTTTCTTCCACTTCTGGATTTTCTCTCCCCAGTGTCACCCTCATTATTTAGTTCGCTCCCTCTCTCTCTTCTGTTGTTAGTCTCTCTCTCTCTCTCTCTCGCACACACCTACTCGTTTGGCATTTCTATTAGTGCAGGTAGTTACCAAATCTTGGACTTCAACTCTTCTTCTAATTGTTTTCACTTCCTCATTTTCAACAAAAGGATCATTCTCTACTACTATGTTTCTTTTTTTCTTCTTCGTAAAATCTACACCATTCTAGTAGAAATCTGCTGTATTAGAAGCTCTGAATCGCACTGCATAAGCAATCTCCTGTTCTACATACTGAACTTGGGAAGAATCGAGTTTCTCAGCACTTCGGATTTGTTGCGTGATTGGAAGTGGACTGGCAAGAAAGTGTAGAGAACGTCTGGAGAAGAAAAGATGAGGTCATGGAGTTCATTGTTGTTTATCGGTTTGATTTCCACGGTCTCTTTCGTGGCCTGTGATAATGCTGTGGCCTCCAAAGAAGGTACGTCTCCGCTAGGCAATCACTTCCTTTCTCAGATCTCGCCTCTTCTGTTCTGTTGACCTCTGTTTGGCTGCAATGAAAAGTTAAGAAAGGAACAAAGTAGTTGATTTTTTGCTCAATAATATGTATAATGTATGATTTGATTGAGTTGCAAATATTAGCATGTTTCTGTTTCCTTTATGAATATCGAAGCTTCGAGATCACAGTATTGCTTTTTCACTCGCATTTTCAAGATCACAGTTCTGCCTTTTCACTCACATCCTCTTTTTTCTTCGAGTACTTGCATTGTAATCTTTCTTTTTTTGGTTGAGAGAGTGAGATAGATGTATTTCTACCCTTTTGGTGGTTTGTCGGGATTATTTAGCTGATTGGAAGTTGTATCTGCATAGTTTTGGCGCTTAATGCTTTCAAAGAAGCTATTTATGAGGATCCATTTCAAGTTTTGTCCAATTGGAATTCGATGGATTCAGATCCTTGTGAGTGGAACGGCGTTTTCTGCAATCCGGCCCGAGATCATGTTATCAAGTTGTAAGATATCATGCCTCTATCTTTGATATTCATTTCTAGGTCACCACATTCCTAATACATTATTGGATTTGGAATATTTGTTTGCAGAAACATTTCGAGATCATCATTAAAGGGATTTCTAGCACCAGAATTGGGACGAATCACGTACTTGGAAGAGTTGTATGTTCTGTCTCTCTAATTCACATGTCATCCAGAAGGTCTGCCTCGCTTAGTGCAATAATTCTGGAATATAATGCTATGTATGCAGGATTTTGCACGGCAATAAACTGATTGGAACAATACCTAAAGAGCTAGGCGCGTTGAAATCTCTTAAGGTCTTGGATTTGGGGATGAATCGGTTATCAGGACCAATTCCTCCAGAGATTGGAAATTCAACCCAATTAATAAGAATGTAAAAGGAAATTTATTTGCTCTTCCGGGGTACAGAAATTTACGTTCTAGAGTCTTGTCACTCACTTTCATTTCATGCGACTTCTGTTTTATTGTAGAAACCTGCAGTCCAACGGGTTGACTGGTAGACTACCTCCAGATCTTGGAAATTTGAAATACCTTCAAGAACTGAGACTGGATAGGAATAAGCTTCAAGGGCCTGTCCCTGCTGATAGCAGTTCCGATTTTACTACCACTATGCGTGGAATGTGAGTGAACTTTTGTTTATGGTGTGCGCTATAGATTGCAGGCGTCCTTCATGACTGTTTTAGATTGCCACGGTCAGACGGGCTAGTACTTAGATTGATTTAGGTCAACAAGCAACTGATAGAATACAAAGAGAAATTTTATTTTCTTCTCTTTTTACATATGTTATGTTTTAGGTAGCTTCATCCTTCATTTAATGATAATGGAAAAATGTTATATTGCTAATGTTTAAGAGCCATTCAACAGGCATAAAAGATATGGTTAGCAAGCCATAAATTATAATTAGACTTCAGTCAAATTGGACTTGTGGTTTAGTTTGAAACGGATTAGATGCCAATTTACACAACTTGATGTTTAAGTTTTCTTAATCAGTCTCTTCTATTCCTGTTATTTTTTCAGGTATGCATCAAATGCGAATTTAACTGGTTTCTGTCGTTCGTCTCAGTTAAAGGTCGCTGATTTTTCCTATAACTTCTTTGTTGGTAGCATTCCAAAATGCTTGGGGTATCTTCCAAGGTGTTTTTCTAATACCTGAGCCATACAAGTAGTTTACTCGATCTCCTATATTTAGAACAACCTATGCCTTTGCACAGGTCTAGCTTTCAAGGGAATTGCCTCAAGATCAAGGATTTAAAGCAACGCTCTTCTGTACAATGTGGTGTGTATGACATGACTTTCCAAGTGCTTAAGATCTAATGAATGAATTTGGATAGAGGAGAGAAAATGTGCTCCATCTTGACTTCCAAGTGAAGTGGATCTTCTCCTTATATTCCTCATTTGCAACACAAACTGATGTTGAGGATGGTTCTTTCTTGTAATCAGTGATTACAAATTTAATATTATATTCTGAACCTACTAACCATTTCTAATTGTTAGTGCATTCATAATTGTTCATTATGGCTAATAGTTTGCTTTTCATTTCATAGCTGGTGCTTCACCTGCCAGGGGTCATCCAGTGATCAACCCAAAGCACCGATCAGCTGATTATCTGTCCAAGCATCAAGGAGCATCAAAACCTACATGGCTTTTGGCTCTGGAAATAGTGACGGGAACCATGATTGGTTCTCTCTTTTTAGTTGCTCTTCTTACTGCTTTTCAGAGGTTGAACAACAAGTCGTCCATCATTATTCCCTGGAAGAAATCTGCAAGCGAGAAGGAGAATTTGACCTTATATATAGGTTTAGTTCCCTACTGCCTTGTCCTTTTCTTCTTCCATAAGTATTGGTTTCCTTTATAATTTTTATTAACCTTTTATTAATGTGCAGACTCTGAGATGTTGAAAGATGTACGGAAGTATAGCAGACAAGAGCTCGAAGTGGCTTGCGAAGATTTCAGCAACATCATTGGGTCCTCGCCTGACAGTGTGGTCTACAAGGGCACCGTTAAAGGTGGGCCTGAGATTGCCGTTATTTCCCTCTGTATTAAGGAGGAGAATTGGACAGGTTATCTGGAGCTTTATTTTCAGAGAGAGGTAGATGAAAGCCTATGGCATGCAAGAACTTACACAAAATTAACTACACTTAAACTAAGTCTTTTTAATATTTCACTTGATGCCATTCAGGTGGCAGACTTGACGAGGCTAAATCATGAGAATATAGGAAAACTACTAGGATATTGTAGAGAGAGCACTCCATTTACAAGGATGCTGGTTTTTGAATATGCTTCAAATGGGACACTTTCTGAGCACCTTCATTGTAAGTCAAATTTCTAAACTCATCTATCTTTTAATGCGTTTCATTTTGCTCAACATTTGCAGTTGTGGTTTGTGAGCGCAGATGGAGAAGGATGCCAGCTATCATGGACAAGGCGTATGAATATTGTTATTGGCATTGCACGTGGTCTTAAATATCTACACGCAGAAGTTGAGCCTCCGTTTACTATATCGGATCTAAATTCTGGTGCTGTATACCTAACAGAAGATTTTGCCCCAAAGGTATGTGCATGCTGTTTAAGATTTTGCAGTCAAGAATGAGAAGTAGAGTCATTTGATGTCTGCCTATGTATGTTGCAAAGGTGGTCAAAGTTGGGTTTAGTTGGATTTGGATTGATTTTGGAGAGTTAAACCAAACTGAACCGATTGGTTGGGGGAAAATCTGGACTGATTCAGTTTCCTGTAGTTGCTGGTAAAATATATTCAACTCTTTTTAAAAAATTTAAGATCATAGCCTTTGCAATAAATAATTTTAGTTGAGAAAAATTAAATATATTTTTCAAACCTTGAAGAATTGTATATTACTCTCTTCTATGTTTTAAAAGGTTACAGGTGAGTAATATTTTTCTTTAGAGTCGGAAGTCGTTCAACAATGTTTTGAAACTAAATTAAGTAATTTTTTTAAATAATGAAATTAAGTGTTAAATTAAAAATAGGGTTAAGGTGTAATTTTAACAATAAAGTTTTCTATTAAGAGCATCTAGCACCATTAAGTTTTGAAGGGTGTAAAATTATACACAATCTTTATAAAACAGGGCAATTTTACCACTTTGTTAACTGTGTTAAATGTTTGTCACCTTTTAGTTTGGTGGGTCCCATATTTGTACACATTTCCTCTGCTTTTCCCTTCCCTTTTCCTTTGTCTCACCCTTCTCTCTCTCTAACTCTCTCTCTCTCTCTTTCTTCCCTCACTTGACACACTTATTCTTCTTATTCTCCATCTTTCTCTCTCCTGTCTCCACCTCATTTAAACTCTACTCTCCCTCCCAACTTTCTTATCAAATAACAACAGGTGCCAAACAGTCAAAACAAATCCCAACCATAAACAATTTTTAACGGCCTTCCTCACACCAAATACAAAACAAAGGACTCTCTTTCACAGAAGGAAATTTCTTTCAATAAAGAACACAATTTAGGTCCTTTTCAACTCACTTGGCACGTCCTTTGCAACTCGGAGCTTGATGAATGAAGCTAAATAATTCAAGAATTATGGCAGTCCAAGTAGATTAATTCCAAACAATTGGAGGCTTAACCATCTTTCTAAAAACTATCCTTTGATCATTCCTTCCAACTGCATCAACCAAGCTGATTACCTTGACTTTTCTCCCTCCTCTCGTCAAACAAACTCAACAGAATGTGGCCAACCACCTTCCAACTTGTCAAACCACATAGCATCTCGTTTCCTTGTGTTGCCTCCTTTGTTTGCAAAGTCAATTGCCTCCAGTGTCAATGCCTCTATCTCCTTCTCAGATTGATCAAATACAATAGTGCACACTCTCCCCCCTTAAGCTTCTCGTGGAGAACAGTCATTTGGTTCTTGAATTCTAAGTTGCTGTTGCCAAAGGAAGAGGAGACAAACTTGAAAAGGGGAGAGAGATAGAGAATTGAGTCTGATGTGTTGGGGGGGGGGGGGGAGGAATTGATGTAAAGAGAAGGAGGAGAGATGAAATTTAAGGGGGTGAAGTGTAATGTTTTTAGTGAAAGGATTATGTTGAGCCAGACACATAGCTGGACCCACCTCAGAAAAAGAAATGGCCGTCTAGACTTGTTAACAGAAGTGATGAAATCGCTCCGTATTTTAAAGTTTGTGTATAATTTTGCACCCTTTAAAACTTAATGGTGCCAGGTGCTCTTAGCGAAAAACATTATTGTTAAAATTGCACCTTAACCCTTAAAAATATAAAGCACTAATACTGCATGAATAAATAAACCTGTAACACTTCGTTAGTTAGCAACTATTATTGTGGGGACTGTTTATACGGGGAAAAAATCACTGAAGCCCGAATCCTAAATGTTGAAACCCAGAATTTTGTTTAAAATTCTCATTGTAAAGAATCTTAAATTGCAGCTCGTTGATTTTGAAAGCTGGAAGACAATCTTGGAAAGATCAGAAAGGAATTCTGGTTCTGTTGGCAGCCAAGGTGCCGGGTGTGTTCTTCGAAATTCCATTGAAGCACGTCCACTTGATACCCTAGGGAACATATATGCTTTTGGGGTACTTCTACTGGAGATAGTCAGCGGAAGAACTCCCTATTACAAGGACAAGGGTTACTTGGTGGACTGGGTAAGAAACTCGATCAGAATTTTGTCCATTTTGTTTACTGTTTTTTCTTTTTTTTTTTTTTTGTCCCTAATTTGGACAACCTTGAAAGTGTTTACGGTTATTGAATTGTTAACTTTGGACGTGTGTTTTTGCACAGGCGAAGGGCTATCTCGAAAATCCTGAAGAAATGCCATCTTTGGTGGATCCCGAATTGAAGCATTTTAGAGATGAAGACCTGAAAGTAATATGTGAGGTAATAAATCTCTGTATCAATTCTGACCCTACAAGGCGTCCAGGGATGCAAGAGTTGTGTGGTATTCTGGAGAGCAGAATTGACACATCCATAACTTCGGAGCTCAAGGCATCGTCTTTGGCTTGGGCTGAACTTGCACTCTCATCTTGAATCACTCAGTCAGAACTAACATACACTAAAGCAGAAATATACACAAAGTATTTACTTTTTTGACTTATTTCTCTTCTTTTATGTGTAAATGATTGCTCAGAAAGGCAACGTAGGGGATAAAATCTCGTTGTTGTATGGCACTGGGAGATGACTACAAATGCAGACATTGGTAAATGGGGATGACAGTGCTGGACAACGGTTTCCCGTATTTTTATATCGAGCGTTTGTTATTTGTATTGAGCATTTTATTAATTGTGAGGGTTGGATCTGTAACTTCCCTTTGCTTTTCAGATTCAAATGAGCTGAGATTAAAGGGGCTATTAGTATAATGCTATATTTTTAAACTAGATGTCCAGAGGTCGAGATGAGTAGTGTTGTTCATAAATTTGTAAACAGTGCGGCTCTTGTATATAATACTGATATTGATGTTTCTAAATGTACCTATCTTAATGGGATCTTGAATATCTTTGAGAAAAATAGCATTGTACTATTTTGCGTATTACAATTATATGCTGGATGGATGCCTTAAACATCATTTTTCTTTCATGATGTAAACTTCATGTTTGAAAGTGGACAGTATAGCCATCATGTCGTAAGAAGTGAGCGTTTTGGTTCACTTTGCCTAATTTCTGGCCAACATCTATGCTTTTGTGGGAGAAAGGCAAATACATGCTCAGCCGCATGCTTTAGCCAACCCCATCTGGCAAATTTTGGTTGTCCGAGATCCTCAATGGCAGAAAGGAAAGAAGCGATATTAATTTCATACTCAGGAGGAAAACAAATGAACAACGTATGAAAAAGTAGAAAAGCCTTTTCCGGCATATTGTTAATACACATTATTGCCTCCTTGATTATTCCATGATATGATGATCTATTGTTTTACTTGTATTTTGAGCTGAACTGTACTTCTGTCACAAAAGCTATTATTGCTCCTTTTTTATTCGTTTGGTATTCTTTTTTGGATATTGTGGGCTCAGCTTTCGTGTTCTTCACGGTTTTCAATAGAAGCACATCCTTTGTGATTTTATAATACATTGCAGATCTTTTAATATTTCGAGTTCTTCATGCAAACAGCTCAAATGTGATGTTGATTGACTGAATTTATGCATATCGTTCTGATAAATAGGCATTATTTAATGCTTTAGGTAACTTGCAGGGTTATGCATAAATGATCTTCATTTAGTTAGATTATCTTCTATGCTTTAATCACTTTTATTCTTTCATCATTTCCCTTTGCTTATGGAACTTGTATTAGTCGGATTCATGTTTCCCCCCCTTCCGAAGTATTCTTTCATTGTTGTATTGGAAGTTTGTTATTTCTTCAATTTTTATGCTGTATCTGTGCTCTTAATGTTTTGTTTCATCTTTATTGTGTATGCAACTTGATATGTGACCATTTGAATCTTCAGGCACTGATGCTTATTACATATATCTGTGATTTCAATATTTATAAGCTTCTCAATTCTTAAATTATTTGAATTCCTACCTCTGATTTTCGTGCCTAAAAAGGCCTTTTGTATTTTAAGTGGTTAAAATGACCTATGGTCTATATTTGTTTGCACGTGCAATTTGATGTGTCTACTTTTATCTTTCACTGTGTGTTTATGTTTTGTGTTTGCTTTTCAAATATAAGTCAACAACTATTGAGTAACTGCTTTCTAGAGTTGAGTTGAAAATGAATCATAGAGATTTCTCTCTGAAATTATAACATATTAAGCTTTTTTTGGGTTTTGTTATTGTTTTTGTTCATTTAACAAATCTTCTACAAGCATACATTCTTTACTGTTGCATTTTACTCCTAGCCTCCTTTTTCATGTTGCTGCTCAAGTATGCTGCTATTTCATTCACTTGCAGATAAGCATCAGTGCAATTGTCATTATTCTTTTCCTGAGTTACAACACATGGATATATTTATCAGCCTCGTCGTTACCATCATCATTAGTGTTTCTTATTCTTTTTGTTAATAGCTTTATAGAATCTCAAGTTATCAGGTCATATCTGGGTGTTTCCACAGCGTGTCAAATCCTCCTCATTCCATCCATCTTTGACAGGTAATTAAATGTTTCTAAAGTGCGCCTCTTTTTCTTTTAGCTACAACTTAGAAAACAGGAGGAGACGATTCTGCAGTGAAATATGGCTGTGTTGCATTATTCTCCTTTCTGATTCATGGAATATTTGTACAATTGCAGAAGCAACTAATTAGGTCCTTCCCATGTTCTTCAAAATAAAGCATGGAAGTGTCACTTTATGTTGACATGCCTTGCGAGTATTATAATTTCTCTGGTCAGGTTATGCATTAGAAATTATAACTTTTTAGCTGCTAAGTTAACAAAGCTGGGCATATTGGTATATATGAGATTCTCACATCTGTTTTCTTTTGCATATACGTGCTTTTGGAAATTTTGTGCTTGGCGTCATGAGAAGCTTGTCCCAAGAAGACTGTTAATACCTCAGGTTACTGATTAAATAATTGCCCCTAATTTATATGTTTCTGACTTAAATTATAACTGCAATGTGTGAATTATTAATGCTGGGCTTGGACTTTTTTTAGCTTTTTTCGGGATGGTTTGTTTTTTATTAATTTAAGAGAGAAAAGAAGTTGAAATTCGCCGTTTGATTCATGAAATTTGGGCCCTTTTTACCTTTTCACTGATCATTTTTCCTTCCACTAGAGACTTGTGGGAGCATGAAATTGTAAAGTTAAAAGGATATAATAGAATATATTATTTCTTCAACTCATTGCATGTAGATTGTCCATTGACACATTGGATTTGTTATTACTATTCCTGGTTTTTAATATAAGACTCAATTGACCTATTTGGGGAGATTAAGGAAGTTAATAAATTTATATTTATTGTTTTTTTTTTTTGAATTATTAGGTCTTATATTAAGAATTAGAGGTAATACCATTATATGTACCGATGGATGCTTTGCACATCATTTTTCTTTCATGATATAAATTTCATTTTTAAAAGTAGACAAGATAGGCATCGTATCTTAAAACATAAGCGTTTTGGTTTACTTTTGCCTCATTATTGGCCAACATGTATGATTTTGTTGGAGAAAGGCAACGCCATGTTCAAGCACATGTTTTAGCCAACCCCATATTAGCAAATTTTGGTTGTCCGGGATCCTCAATGGCAGAAAGGAACGAATAAATTTTAATTTCGAATACTCAGGAGGGCAATTGTCCCGTGTAATTGGATTGGAAGCGTATGAGATCTTTTTGCATTATTGTTTTGTACTATGATTCTAAGCTTTTCTTTAAAGAATAGATGTCGCTGAATGGATGTTTATGGTCCGTTTTCTCAAAATCAGGAGGACTCCGCGATTACAAATTTGTCTGGGTGGATATCACTTGCGTTAGAAAGATAAACACAAAATTGTCTGTAAAACCTGCAGTGCTATTCTAGTTCTTAATATAAAATTTATTAATCAATTTGAATAAATTAAAAATATTAGTTAAATTAGTTAATTTTATATATTTTTTAAAATATCATGAGTATTTTTCTTAATTTTCTCTCGCCCTCTCCTACTTGATTATTACTACCTCTGGTGTTAATTATAAGAGCTAGTTGATTAATTTAAGAAGATGAAAGAAAGAAGTTAAGTTAGTTATTTGTAATAAATATGTATTATTTTTTTTAAAATATTCTTGTTAATCAAATGTATTGGTTATAACTACTATTATTAGAAAGATTATCTTGAAAAAAAATACATAAATATAAAAGACAAAATAGATTAGGGTTTTATATTTAGAATCAAAATAAAATTCAAACGAGATTTTATATTAAAGACCAGAGGTAGTATTAGAGATAAACATGTAAAATAAGTTTAACATATATTTTATATTTTATATTAAACGAGATAAACATGTAAAATAAGTTTAACATATAGAGTCAATATTTACTGCCCAATTAGGAGCATTAAACACCAATCCCTTGAAAGAGTTTTAAATGGGTCTAATTATATTAAATTTTATTTATTTGTCTCTCGTTGCCAAAGTTGAAAAAAAATCATTAGTCTTAAAATATAAAGAAATGGTAGCTCACCAAATGTATTTAGTAACTTGTATTTTTCGATTATGTTTTACATAAATATTTTATTTATATGTAAATTAATGCATTTTTATTTAACTATTACTTTTTTCATGATTACACACACATTTTAATCATAACTGGGTTCATCACAATTTAATTACGGCTAAATCATTGAACTTTGAGCTGTTTGCTTCGGTTGGTTCCATATCCAACCTGATTTTCAATGCCTTCATAAAATCAAAACTTGCAAGACTCTAAGATATTACTACTACAACTCAATTGGCAATGTTTTCAACCCTCAAGTTTCATTGACAATGTGAAGGCTTAACAAATAATATCTTCAGTATTTAATATAAAACTTAACTGACTAATTTAAAAAGATTAAAAAAATTATTATATCATTTAATTATAACATATATTATATGATCTTTCTATCAAATTACATATTAATTTATAAGAGTAACAAACTAATTTTTAAAAAATAATAAATATAAATACTTTTCTTAAACTCTCCCATTAAGTCAACTACATATTATATTAAAAATTGTAGTAACATCCAAATATCTGTCCAAACTCTTTTTAGCCATAATACTCATCTTTGTAAGAACTTTTCCAGCTGAGACTTAATCTTGATAAATTAAAAGGACCTATTTTTAAACGAAAAGAAAAAAAATTTGCCTGATCAGAATACGCTGAGTACTGAAAAGTCAATAATAATAATAAAAAAATCCGTTAAACTACAAAGATGCCTCCGTGTTACCCAAAGAAAACATTGCCCTTGAACATAATTAAGCAAATCAAACGCATGATTGATGATAAAATATTCAGATTTAACAGTTCTTCCAAAAATACGCTTTTACAACGAAACAGTTGCTTTGTCCAGCACAAGAGGGGGTAAAAACAACACTTGGAAAGATACATGAGAAATTTTCTTGAAAATAAAAAAAGAAAAAGAAAACAAAAGCAAAGAAAAGAAAAGAAAAGAGAAAACAGAAAAAACAGAAAAGCAGACCAAAATTCCAATCAGACATCCACTACTTATGCTTAGAACGGGAATAATGATTATCATTAGGATTTCTCTTTCCACTAAAAACTGCTAATGCATTCCTTACAGGAGGCTGGAAAGGAGCTCTCTTATCTGTGTTGTGGCTGAAGATATTATCTGGAGTGAAAAAATCATCATCCTACAAAGTGTAAGTAGAACTGGTTAGTTAGAACTAGTGGAAATCGGTGGAAGTACAAAGAAAGAAGGAAAAACTATTTAGTAGGTATTTATACTTTTCTCTTAATTTTTAATTTGGTACCAATGCCTTTTTTCCCTTTTAATTAAATCTCTGTTAACATTGTTAGTCCCTGTAACTTTAATCTATTAGCACAGTTAGCCCTTGCAAGTGGGCTAATGGTGCTAACGGATCAAAATTAAAGGATTTAATTAAAAGAAAAGAACACACAAATACTAAATTAAAAATTAAGGGAAAGTATAGGTCCCCTGTAAAATGATTTTCCAAAGAAGGAACACCAATTCCAAGGGAGTTACTATATATAAAGTGCACCTGCTTGTTGGCTTTCTTTGTTTTAGGATAGAGTAGCTTTTGAGGGAGCTGATCTTCCCGCAGAATGAGGTTCTTTGTGACTGCGTCTCTTCCGCCTTGAGGTAAAGGCAATGAAAACTGTACACATCATAAAGTCATGTCAAAATGGAAAACGGCAAAGTTCCAGAATTTTAAAAGGTAAAAAAGGGGGGAAAAAAGCACCAATCAAAAGAAACACGCGGCTGGTTCTTGAAAATTGAAGTGTAAATATATTACATAATAGTAACATAATTTGCGCCTTCTAACACATCTTTTTGATACATTACAAACAAACAAACTACAACAGCAAATTCAAAACTTAAAAAACGCAGGAAATGACCATCCATCCTATCCTGTAAATCTTTAGAAAGGATATGAACTACAACATAAATATCATGTTGTATGTACATTAGGAACCTATCCAAGAGAAAATGGTTGAAAATCGCTTAAGATGGTTTGGACATGTGCAGAGAAGGCCTTTGGAGGCCCCGGTGAAGAGGGTGGATCAAACAAGATGGAGTCCCATAAAAAGAGGCAAGGGAAGACCGAGAAGAACGTTGAATGAGGTCATTGAACGAGACCTCCTAGTCAACAACATATCTAAGGATTGGGTTGTTGACAGAGCACAATGGCGTCGTGTAATTCATGTAGCCGACCCCACCTAGTGGGATAAGGCTTGTTGTTGTTGTATGTACATTAGGAACCAACAAGTCAAGCAAAATACCGTCAAAATAAAGAAAATTGCGAATATGTACATCAAAATGAATGGTGCAGTAGCAGGCATAAGAAAACAGAATTGATGCCCATTACCATCTCTTATGGATGTGCTTACCTTGGTGCCACGTAATGTAATTCTTGGTCGACGGGCTGCTAAAATAACTCCATTTTCACCAACTGTAACAGCCACCTTACGTAAGGTGCCACCGTTGCCACATTTAGGACAAAAAATCCTCCCAATTTCAGCAGTAACAGCGTAGCAAGCATGACACTTAAGTATCCATCTGAAATATATAAAATAAAGATAAGCACTTACTGCACAATCTGCATAACTAACTAATGATTACAGCCAATACAATTGCCATTATCCTGAAATCCAATATTGGTTAGCTACAAGTAATCGTTATGGTAGTTAAAGTGGCATGGTTCTCCATACCAGCAGATTTAGATTTGTGAGGATGGTTCCCCATACACTTGCTTAGGTCTCCATGACATTACTTAGTATATCACAAATTGATAAGCAAAAGTTAGGCCTTAATTATTACACAACTTTCTCCTTTATACAACATCCCTCGTGGATTGTAAAAGGGCTGGAGGAGTTGATCATATTAAAAGTACTTAATACATTACTTCTTAGTGAAGAAGAGTTTTTGTCTTGAGAAGGGGGGGAAACACTGACCTGTGCAGCTCTCGGATCTGTGTTCCTCCAGGTGCTAGCAAACGCAAGCCCATCTGTAGAAGAACATTTTGCATTGCAAAGTCACCAGTCACACAGGCTACACTTGACTCGGACAAAGATCTAGGCATCCAACTCTGCTCACTACTATCATCATCTACAAATGAAGAATCACAGGCTTCACTAGTCTCGCTTATAGCCTCAAAGTGATTTGATTCATCATTAACTGTATCTAGCTCACATGGTTTAGTGGCCATGGTTACATCACCACTGGAAACAGTTTCCAAAAGTCTAGAATCGTTTGATTCAAGTTCTTCAGAACATGCATTAAGTTTGTCTTCTCCATCAATAACTTCCAATGAAGCTCCTTCTTCCAGACTCATTTTCTTCAGACTTGCTGGGAGGCTTTCCCTTTCTTCCTTCTCTTTCACCAACTTGTGATCCTCAAAATCAGCATTTTCAACATGACTTTTTTCATCACTTTGATGAACAAGCTGATTTGAACTTCTGCCATCCTCAACAGCACCACCAATGTTTTCTTCCAAATCTTGTTGATCCTGACTGTGAGACAATGCCTCACGTCTAGCTTTTCTTCTCAGATATCTCCTATGAGTGCTTCTACTGACAGCAGGCATCCAATCACCAGCATTATCATCAAATTGTCCTTGTGATGCATCGATTCCATCAGCAACCATCTTCTTCCCTTCAATGTTTACCTCCTTTTTCTTATGGAAGTTTCTCCCAGGCTTCCTGGAGCCATACTCACCACGCTCTAGATTTTCAGGAGGAGGTTCACTCTTATGTTCAGCTGAACGATCTTCAGAATGGTTATCTTGCGGAACCAAGTTCAAGTTCAAGTCTCGCAAAGGAAGGATCCTTGAACTGGAATTTGATTTGTCCTCAGTCTCATGTTCTAGTGCTTCCCACTCTTCCAAATTGGGCACATTGGAACCCCATCCAGGCATGTCTTTTTCAGGCAATCTCCTAACATTTACCACTTGAACAGGCGGCGGGATGTCCCTGAGATGCTTTGTTCCATGGATTTGAGCCTCTAAAGTATAAGTCAGAGCAATGAGTTTGAGATCAACATCTGATAGAGTCTGTAGATCACCAGTAGCCTTTGCAAATTTGATAACTGTTAGGTCTCAGCAGCACATGAGAATTAAAGTTAGAAGACAGCAAATACTTTGCCAAAAACAGAATTAGTCATAACATAATTCTAAATAGCAACAAAGTCGGGATTGCAAAATAGTTAGTATCAAAATAAGGAGCATCCTCGTCAATGTACCTCTATTGTCAATTCAAAACACTTTCCAGGATAATATCAAGTCAACTATATGATTAATACTCAGAACCACAATTATAGTTCACATACTCATACTATCTAAGACATGATTACCTTTGTTGATGGCTTCTTGAGTGGGTTCCATGGGTTCGATATTAAAGGGGATGAGTGAGAGCCTGTGCCGCGAGACAGGGTCGCGGATTTCCTGTATAACTTCTGCAACAGAAACGAACTTGTCGGCATAATTGTGAAGCCTTTCGCCGCCGGCAATAATGGCGTTGGCGTCAACAACAGCCACTGATATGCCATCAGAGGATTTGCAGGTCTCCACAAAAACTCGGCCAGGCGGTAGAGGATCATCCTGAGGGGGCTTTAGAGGTTGTTGGCTCTTCACTACATTGCTCCAGCACGTCGATAGCGCTGCAGCTGACACAGGAGCCTCCTCCATGGCGGTGACGAGGGAGGATAGAGAGCAAGGCGCGCAAAGAAGCCCGAACCTTATTGATAAACCCTAGTTTCAGCTACAGGGAAATGCGATTATTATTTTTCTCTTCAAATTTTATTTATTAGTAAGTATTTTTTTAAAAAAATTAATTTACAAATCCTTATAATTTTATCTAGTTTTGATTTGGTCCTTATAACTTTTTTTCTTACTTATTCTATCTTTATTTTTTGTTTTATAATTAGTGTTAATCCTTCTATTTGTTAACCTTGCATTTGCCGTTAGTTTCAGTTGATTAGAGGTGATGTAACGTTTGAATAAAATCTAGCAAGCAACATCTGCGTCCTCTCTCAGCTTTTCTCTCTCTCCTCCACTCAAAACCCCTCCTCCCTCCACTAAGCTAACATTGTTCACAATTCATTTTCTCCCTGAGCATCATCATCTTTATCTCCTCTTTCATAGGCTTTCTACCTTTTCCTTCTTTATCTTCTATTGTATCTCTCAAGTGACAGCTATGCTTCGAGTCGCCATGCCTCAGCCGATTCCATGAGAAATTAAAGCTGTTAATCCCATCGCTGCCAACGTTGCCGACAACCTCAGGAGCATCGAGCTTGTTATTGACTTGCTTCACTAAGATGAGCTACTGCTGCTTCCCCTTCAGAGGTACCGTCATGGCAACGGCGTCTTCGATTCCGACTGCTTCACCACTCTCTTTGACGCCAAGCTCCGTTCGAATTTGAATGAGTCGGATCGATTTAGGAGGAAATCAGCATCACCGTTGAATCGGCCGTACTCCAGATTCACGTGTTCCTTCTTAGCGACTATTCTTCGATGCAAGGAGTGATCTTTGACACCAAAGGAAGAGCCACTAGCAATGGAACTTCGACCAGATGGTCCATATTATTAATCTATGTAAAATTGTGTTTGTTTCTTATCTCCACCATCATCTGAAACACAACGAAGCTTCTTTAGGAGGAGATCAGGACGATGGTGGTAGGGGGAGGAGAGGACATGAACAGTGAGAATGAGATAATAGCATATTTGGAGGAGACCGTGGAGGAGGGGGAGAGAGAAGATGCGAGAGGAGGAAGATGATTGCGCGTGCTCATATTTTCTTTTTCAGACGCCACATCCAGTCAACTGTGTCGGAGTTAGTGTTGTTGGGCTTTAGTTGATCTATAAGTAACGGGTTTTCTCCTATTCTGATGTATAGATTCAGATCATTGAGTTTAATAAAATAGTTTGGTTCTCGTCATTTCTTCCTGGGCTACGCTCATCATGGCATCAGAGCCACAGGTCCCTTTTTTTCTTTCATTCTAGTCATCTGGGCAGGGGCCCAATGCTGCATCCATCTAGAGCTTTCTGAAGCTCAGGGATGAATCCACGTCACACTCCAAAATAGCGTCTTTATAGACGAAGACAAAGAAGACAAACCTGTCATACCATATTGCAGACCACAAAAGAAAATAGGTGGAGCTTGCGATTCTGGCATCTTCGATCTTCTAGGCTCAAGAACGCACGATGGCGGAGAAATATGAGCAATCTACGCTAAGCTTCACCCACCCATTGTACTTGCACCCTTCCGACACACAAGGAAGCACGATCATCCCGCAAGTTTTGACCAGCAGCGAGAACTACACGGTCTGGAGCAGAGCAATGCGCATAGCTCTCAGAGGGAAACAAAAACTCGGGTTTATTGATGGAACGTGCAAAAAAGAGTCGCAGGACAAGAATCTTCAAGACCAGTGGGAAAGATGTAATGCGGTCGTCTTATCTTGGATCCTTAATTCGTTGTCTACTGAGCTTGCCAACAGGGTTGTTTTTCTTCAAGATGCATATCTAGTATGGTCTGGTTTACAAGAGCGCTTTGATAAAGTTTCTGGTTCAAGAATTTTTTCCCTTCATCGAGAAATCAATTCTCTTCAGCAAGGAACCCAATCCGTCTCTGCATACTACTCCAAACTTAAAGAATTGTGGGAAGAGCAATCGGCCTTAGTTGCCGGGCCCTCTTGCAAGTGCTGCACATGTGGAGCATCCAAGATTCAAAGGGACACATTGGAGCAACAAAAGCTGCTCCAATTTTTAATGGGACATAGTGCCATTACCAAAGAATAAAAAGCCAATAGGATGCAAATGGGCGTACAAAATAAAATATAAATATGATGGAAGTATAGATAAGTATAAGGCCCGGTTGGTAGCTAAAGGATATAATAAAAAAGAGGGTGTTGACTATCATGAAACATTTTCACCAGTGGTTAAAATGATTACTGTTAGAATGATACTCAAATTAGCAGCTGTGAATGGTTGGAAATTATTTCAAATGGATGTGAATAACGCCTTTTTGCAGGGAGATCTAGATGAAGAAGTTTACATGACCATACCCCAAGGTATTCAGAGCAAGGGGGAGAATATGGTGTGTAAACTGAAAAAGTCCTTATATGGGCTTAAACAAGCATCTAGGCAATGGAACCAAAAGCTAACTTTACTTCTTAAAGCTGGAGGGTTTGTGCAAAGTAAACATGATTACTCTCTATTCGTTAAGAGGTTTAATGATGCATTTGTTCTTATATTAGTATATGTTGATGACTTATTAGTCACTGGGAATTCAGAGAGTAGAATACTTGAAGTGAAAGAGTACTTGCACAGTAAGTTTAAAATCAAATATTTAGGAGAAATGAAATATTTCTTGGGCATCGAGGTGGCAAGATCCCATAAGGGGATTGCCCTTTCACAAAGAAAGTATGTGTTGGAGCTTATTGTTGATGTAGGATTGAGTGGGTGTAAGCCATTGACAGTACCATTGGGCTAGAATATCAAACTTAGGGCCTATGAAGAAGGAAAAGAAAAAAAAAGAAGACTTGCTGTCAAATCCTGAAAGATACAGGAGGCTGGTAGGTAGATTGATCTATCTCACTGTAACACGCCCTGATATTAGCTTTGTTGTGCAGGATCTAAGTCAATACATGCAACAGCCAACTAAAGCGCACATAGCAGCATCTCTTGGAGTGGTTCGATATTTGAAGCATGATCCAGGCTTTGGGATTCTTCTTAGCTCTAATCAAGACCTAAAAGTAAGATGTTTCTGTGATTCAGACAGGGGCGCCTGTGGAACAACACGCAGATCTGTAATAGGGTATTTGATAAAGCTTGGAGATTCGCCTGTCATGTGGAAAACCAAGAAGCAGAACAAAGTATCAAGGTCTTCAGCAGAGGCTGAATACAAAGCCTTGGGAGCAGCAATATCTGAAATTGTTTGGATTAAAGGATTATTGAAGGACTTGAGGATCAACCATGAACAGCCTGTGAAGGTTTACTGTGATAGTAAGGCAGTCATTCACATAGCATCTAATCCCGTCTTCCATGAGCGCACGAAACATATTGAAATAGATTGTCATTTTGTGAGGGAGAAGTTGCAAGATGGACTGATTACATTACAGCATGTGAGGTCAACAGATCAAGAAGCAGATCTGTTAACTAAGGCAATAGGAAAAGAACATCAAGTCAGGTTACTTGGCAAGTTAGGAACTGTGAATGTTTACAGCTCCAAACTTGAGGGGGAGTGTCAGAGTTAGTGTTGTTGGGCTTTAGTTGATTGGGCTTTATTCTCATTAAGCCCATAGTCTTCAGTTTTGTAAGTCTATAAGTAACGGGTTTTCCCCTATTCTGATGTATGGATTCAGATCATTGAGTTTAATAAAATAGTTTGGTTCTCGCCATTTCTTCCTGGGCTACGCTCATCAAACTGAAACTAACGGCCAATGCAAGCTTAACCAACAGAAGGACTAACGGCAATAACAGATCAAACAATAAGAATTAAATAAAAAAGAAAAAAAAAAGGGACTTGATTCAAAATTAGGTGTAATTACAAGGACTGGCAAATTACTTTTTCCTTTTTAAAAAGGTGCAGTTTATTTTTTGGTCTGTCTAGTATCAAAGCAAAAAACTATTTTAGGCTGTTAGACATGCCTAAAAATATTTTGACCAAAAAATATAATATATTGAGATGCTGGATATATCGTAAAATATTTGAAGGTATTTCACTTTGACCCTAAATTAAATATAAAACTAATATTTGCATATTAATAAATTCATAAATTAAAAGAGACCCTAGAAAATAGAAGTCCAACGGTTGCCAATTGATGTAGATTTTTGGGAAAATTAATCTTTTGGTCTCTCAACTTTTAACTCAATTATGATTCAGTCCCTTAAGTTTGACTCGGTATGACTCAGTCTCTCAACTTCTAACTGGGTTGAAACTCAGTTCCTAATTTTTTCCTATTTAATAAATTAATCCATGTCATATACAACTCACCTTGAATCATCACCCAATCACCCTATACGTGCTGACATGGCTTCCAAATAAGCTCTGCATTCATCAGTCCCGACCCTCCCCTGTTTCGTTATCATTTTCCTTCTTCTGCGAATCATTCATGAGGCCAAGGTGTAATTTACAGTATATATGCAGTGTAAAATTACACACACACCCACCCACGCAAATCAATCAAAATCAAAGTGGGGGGAGTTGTGCTTGAATTGAAGGAACATATTTTTCTTTTCTTCTTTCGGTTCTCACCAATAAAAAGATGGAATTGCATTTGCACAGCTTAGCATGTTCCTTTAGTTCCATTCCATGAGCTTTAGCTTCGCTTTTCCCCTGATTTTCATCGTTATTATATCGGTTCTTGGCGTGATACTTAGATATTGTGAAGAATAATAATATCTTATTGTAAATCTTTCTCCATGTCATATTAAACCCACTGCATCTACTGTCTATATAGCCTCTCCATTCATAAATTTAATTACAACTCCCCCACCCACACTTTAATTTTGATATATTTGGGCAGGTGTGTAATTTTTCACTGCATATATATACTGTAAATAATACATTTGACTCTAAGAAGAAGAAAGAAAATGAGGAGTAGGAAACAAGGGAGGGTTGCGGCTAATGAGTGCAGAGCTTATTTGGAAGCCGTGTCAGCACATATAGGGTGATTGGGTGATGATTCAAGGTGACTTGTATATGACATGGATTAATTTATTAAATAGGAAAAAATTAGGGATTGAATTTCAACC